GTAGGTTGCTCTTGGCCTACCCCTGCATCGCTTGCCTTCAATTATGCCAGTGAGAGCTAGATGTTCAAGACCGTAAAGCTCTATGTGGGTGGTTGGCGGGTGCTCTAGTGTGGTTTGCTCCTTCTTTCCTATAAAAAACCTATCGTCTCTATCTCCCCTCCTTCTTTTTTGTGTTCGTTATTCCCTTGTAACACCCTAATCTTCTATGCTTATATGACCTTATTGAGTTGCAAGTGCCGTAAAACCTCTATTAAAACTAAACTAAAAAGGTTGCTTTTGGCCTACCCCTGCCTCGCTTACCTTCAATTATGCCAGTGAGAGCTAGACGTTCAAGACCGTAAAGCTCTATGTGGGTGGTTGGCGGGTGCTCTAGTGTGGTTTGCTCCTTCTTTCCTATAAAAAACCTATCGTCTCTATCTCCCCTCCTTCTTTTTTGTGTTCGTTATTCCCTTGTAACACCCTAATCTTCTGTGCTTATATGACCTTATTGAGTTGCAAGTGCCGTAAAACCTCTATTAAAAGTAAACTAAAAAGGTTGCTTTTGGCCTACCCCTGCCTCGCTTACCTTCAATTATGCCAGTGAGAGCTAGATGTTCAAGATCGCAAAGCTCTTTCTAAAACAAAAAGATTGATCATTTTTTTGTATAGCTATCACTCACAAATGGATACTAGTATCCCTTCTACCCTCTCCCAGAGCTCCATCCTGTCCCCACAGGGGTGGTGACCTATTACTAAGGATACAATTCCACGCCACAACAACACCAAGCACAGCCTGCGCTATCTCTGCTCATCACGACCTTTTCCCTCAGCTCATACTGGCTCCTCTTCTTCTTCTCATGTACTTTTCTCGTGTACCCCTTCAGGGCTCGACCTTCGTGATAGCCAATCTGGACCCCTCCCCCTTCCCTTCCCACACGTCTCCCCCACCCCTCGACCACTATGTCTCCCACTTTTCATCCCCCCACCTTCCCACCAGAATGCTCGCCACTGTTCTTCTCTCCCCCATCCACTGAACACACACACTTCCACCTCTTCCCCCCACCCCCACCTTTCCCCACATTGTTCCCCATCTTTCTCGTATCTGCCCCCCTTTCTCCAAAACCACCCTGCCCCCCCCCCTCCCCCTTTCTGTTCCTCCCCTCCTACTCACCTCTGGCTGAGTTCTCACCAACAACAAAGAATGCTCACCCGTCCTTCACAAGACGGCCGAGTCTCAAGTGTCTGTATGACAGCCACACAGCAACCTTTGACCCCCCGCGCTAGGAGATGCCCCCTCGACATCCTAAGGATACCAGAGGAGGGAAAGGGGGGGGATGTAAGCTAGGAGATGTACGGATCACTGACTGATACCTTCTACCCCTCTCTCTCTGGAACACCTCTAGGGCTGTGTACCTGATCCTGGAATGTGCTGGATTTTCTCTCACTTCTCTTTCTCTCATACTTTCCGTAATCTGTGTGGCTTGTCGTGTTTTCCGGGAAATGTATTGTTGTTTCCGTAATATCTGTGCCACCACGATTTAAGTGCTGAGGTACGGAACAGAATCACCAACGCAGTGGGGCAGCATGAAGATCTACTGACCACAGTGAAGAGACGAAAATCA